CATATTACCAGTGGTATACATGCACCTATATATGTATAAAACATAAATTTCAATTATGGTATTTAAATAAAACTCGTATGAAAGAAATGTTTGACTCCACAGGAACTTGAACTCCAAAAGAAGCATCTCCCTTTATATATTTCCGCTTATGCCCGTGGAATAAACCTATGCTGGATTATAGAATGAATCTCCTATCCTAGAATGTTCTTATGGTGAATAGCTCTTTTTAATTATAATGAGAGGATCAAGAACAGATCACAATATTGTAGCTTATCCCACAACAGAACTACTTGTACTCTCCATATTTAGAATTAACTATTTGGGGTGTAGGATTTCTTGAACTGTCTCTCCAAATACACACATGAAGTTTATGAAAAAAATAAATGAATGTTAATTACCCTCCCAACTCACTTGTCAACAATATCCAAAGACCCAAAATTTATAATCTCTACTTGCACAAATATGTATCTCCTGGAATGTTAGAATATTTGAATGGCTTATATGAATAACTGTTATACCATGGTACCTCAGACAACATAGCTTGCATTCTATGTTTTCTCTCACAATTGGCTTCTAGCATCTAACATTGAACTCTTAGAATTTTGGATGCTGTTGTCTTCTTGTTGACCAATCCATAACTCTCACATTTTTTTGACCAGTATAATCCATCACAATATGACTCAGGTGTAGTCTGGTGCAGTTGCACATATGAAATGACTGTATTCAACGATTGTTTACCCAGACATGAATCTGCCAATAACTGATAGAGATAAATAACCTGAACTCAACTTTGAAGAGTACTAATGTGTAATGTCATTGATGGTGATCTCAGAGTGTGTAATCTACATGTTCAGTGAGCAATCTTGTCTGTTGAAACAATCTGTTGTTTCCATTTTTGATGTTTTCATCTAAGTTGTAGATACATTATACATGTTTAATATTAAAAATTGAAGAACGTTTTTACATTATCTTTTGAGGTCGTACATCTCAATATTCTTTTCCACCAATTAATGACAACTAAATTATAATTGGTTTGTTTGTAATTAAGCACAAAGCTACACAATAGGCTATCTGTGCTCTGCCCACCACGGGTATCGAAACCCGGATTCTAGCGTTGTAAGTCCGCAGACATACCGCTGTGCCACTGGGGGCCTAAATTTTAAAGAAAAAACTATGTTAATAAATTCAAACAAAAAAATAGTTGAGAATTTGAACCAAAAACAACAAAAAAGTGTGGTATTCCTATTATATTTGCTTCTTATATCTTTTTCCCACTGTTTCCACATTTTTTCTAGTATTATATATATATATATATTACCATAAAACAATTAATGGAACAAGATTTTATGGTTAAATTATTCCTCAATCGAATAAAAACATTTCGTCTATAGAAGAGATCATTTACATACTTGCTGATCGCTACGATTTTGGTTGTCATTTCTTTTCAATGTTGTTTCTTATAATTGCGTAACAGTGATACCAGACGTTGGCGGGCAGCAATGTTTGACAAATGTTTAAATCAAGCTGTTGTCAAAACGTCTCGCAACATGTCCGCTCTCTTTCTAGTACCGACTTGTATACAACAAAATGACGTAGCTGTCACTCATCTCTGTATTTCACCAGTTTCCAACAATTTAATAGCTTTAAAAGTGTGTATACTTTTGTCAAACATTCCCGCCCATACATTAGTATGGGTACAAAACAGCCCTTTCCGATGTTAAATATTCAA